GAAGGTAAGGTGGTGGCAGTTGGAGGAGCTTTGCTGTAAAGCGGAACTAATAATGAGGAGGTAGCTGGAGGGGTGATGGGGGTAAGGTAGGTTTTTTATATTTAAGGTGGAGGCTGTTCAAGCATGGTGAGACCTGATGTGGGCTGTTCAGGAAAGTGGAAATGATGATGGTTCAGGGAAATCCTTGACAAGGATTGAGACACACAGGAGAGGAGTTGGCCCTTAGAAAATAGATATGATGGTAAGTAGATAGATAGATTTAGGGAAAAACCCTGAAGGGGAAATTATTTACCTTGAGTGGATGACCTGTACGTGAATCATGAAATAACCACCTCATTGTATATCAAACCCAACAAAGGCAGAATTAAAACTAGGAAGTCCCATTCTCATTTCAATCCAAGGGTCAGAGGTTATTCTTTTTTAATGGATGAGAGAGATTTAGATACAGTTGTTAAGTTGAGACCTCAGCAGAATCCCCTGAAGAATTGTAAAGGTGGAGGATGAGGCCCAAGAGACCTGGTCAACCATGTTTCTAAATGGATTTGAGTTTCAGAAGATATGCTTCCTTTTAAAGAGATGAATTTCAGATAGAGACAATATAGAAATACATAGTAGTATCTATACTACTAATAGATAATGACTTGAGAGAATCAGCACTCAGCAAGACACCTTGTTAGATTTGAGTTATATAATTTTTCCACCTTTGACAGAGTCTGACTACTTTTCTTTCTCTCTGTTGGTGGAAGAGATTTGCATTTTCCTTCTGTGGCAGGTTTCTGCCTTACAGAGGTGCCAGCTTTCCCATGCTGTACTGTATTTGTAAATGGTTAGGGAATTTACAGCATCTTTTTGGGACACTGAGTATTAAATTCTGCAGCCCTGATCAGCTCTGTTTTATCTGTGTTACAGTCCATCTCAAATCCAGGAGTGGAAGGAAGTAAAAAAGAGTGTGTTGGTGCTGGCTTTGCCCTTGATTGCTGGAGAGTAGAAACCTCATTTCCTTTGCTTGAGATTTTAAAGGACAGAATTATTGGCTTGTTGCTTTCTATCACAGGGCAGACGTTAAATTAAGATTCTTTCCCCTCTTAGAAAAAGTCAGATCTGCTGTTTTCCTATTCTGTTGTTGATGAATTTTGGAGGATGGGCATTTTGGAAAGAAAACAAATGGTTTGGACATTTCATCTGGCGAATACTGTCATGTAGGATAATGTTATATGATATAAAGTTATTTGTTGTTAGATCACTCAGAGTAGAAAGAAGAAAGTTCAGAATAAATATTTTACCTTTGAACGGTACCCTGATTGTCTCCGACCCTAACTACGGTTGAAGAGCATGAATCAGCTGAAGGAATTGCTTAACTAGTAGGCTGACAAGGATTCCGGGTCATAATATCTGAATTAATTTTGAGCCACTAAGGCAATATACAGTGATATCTAATGTAATGCAATCATATGAAGTACATAACCTGAGTGACTAGAATACATTTTTATGGGATTGTTTGCTTTCTGCTTATTCCTTTATGGGCTTGTGAATTGATTACAAAAAGAAAAATATTTAACTCTGAAGAAACTTTTCGTGTTCTCCATTCAGAAAAGTAGAAAGTTTGGAAGCATCCCTGCGAATAATTAGCATTTCAAGCTATTTTCAGTCATCTTAAATTCCATTTAGAACAAGGCAGAGGAGCTGTAAAGATAGCATAGATGAAGACAGTGCTGGGGAGCTCCTCCTCGCTAGTTTTAGCCGTGTCTTCTGCTTTTTCTCTCAGAGCCTCAATTAATACCGAGTTTCTGCATGTGCCAGACATTTTACAGTTTCTAATTCCCAACAGGGTCTTTACTTGCTGAGTTTGATCTCCGGTGGAAAAAAAAAGAAAACGGTACTTAACGCTTTAGGATTCTACTGTAATCAGACTAGACTGCTTTGTTGTTGAATTCTTTTGGGTTTTCTCGGATCAAGTATGCTTAAATGCAAGTTGTACTTTATGTGGTGCTTCCTCGTGTCTGGCTAGTGTCATTATTGAGCCCAGCATTACCATCTAGGAACCTGAAATCGACTGCGGAGCTAAGAGCCCAACAAATCAATGTTAATACATTTCATAAATACTGCTCATTCATTTCTACTACGCGTTCCTACCTGAGGACATCTGTTGTTGTTGTTATTAGGTGCTGTCATGTCTATTCCAACTCATAGAAAATGGCCATGTAGAACAGAACAGAACAGTGCCTCACCCTCTGTCTTCCACAAAATTGATCCCTTCTGACAGCTTGTCCCAAATCCATGGACAAAGTATAGCCATCATCACTTCTTAAGGAGCATCCTGCATGCACTTCTTCCATGATATATTAGTTCTTTCTTTGACAATCTGTAGTATAGTCAATTTGATTATTTGATTCAAACTGGCTAGTAGCCGGCCACTTCAGCTCACTTACCCTGAGGATTGTTCTGTATGCTTTCCATTTCATCTTTTGTTACTTCCACATTCTGGGTGTTAATGCATATTTAACACTATTTGTTCTCATTTTCACTTGTGCCTCACCTGCAAATGAAGGTCCTGGAAGCTTTACTTTATTCACATAGTTAAGGCTGACTCTACTTTGAGGAGGAGCTTTTGTCCATAGATGTTGCACCACTAACCGAAAGACTGCGTCTCTGGTGGTTCAAATCTACCAGTGCCTCCACCAGCGGCTCAGCAGGGAAAAGATGAACAGGCCCCTTTTGTTAAGATTTGCAGCCTCAGAGTACAGTGGTGTTGTTAGGTGCCTAGTGACCCTATGAACAATGCCTCTGAACCTTACCCTATTCTGAGCCAACCTCATCGACTCTGACACACTTGATCCCATTACCACAGTCACTGTGTCAGTCTATCTTATATCCAGGGTCTCCCTTGCCTGTGCTGACCCTTCTATGCATGAAGTCCTTCTCCAAGGACTGGTCCCTCCTGGCAGCATGCCCAAAGTATGCCAGATGGAGCTTCACAATCCTTGCCTCCAAAGAGCAACCCAATTTTACTCTCACCAGGATAGACCTGTTTGTTCTCTTAGCAGTCCATGGTATGTTCAGTACTCTTCTCCAGCACCACAACTCAAAGGCATCGATTCATCTTATGTCATCTTTAGTCATTGTATAGCTCTCAGATGCATAGCAAGCCCTTGAGAAGACCATGGCCTGCATCAGGGACATCATTGCTCTTTACCACTCTGGAGGGATCCTTACGAAAGGTCAGTCATGGATTGAAACCAGCTCAGTGGCGGTGAGTTTGTTAATTTCTGCTCTGATTTGACAGCTCTTCCCTAGCTGTATTTTGAATGCCTTTTTACCTCTTGATCAGCTGCCGGCCCTACACCAGACAATGCTCTGGTGCATTCGTAGGGTTGGAACTGGCTATTTATTTTTTCATAAATAAATTACCAGGGCCTCCCTTCTAGTCTGTCTTAGTCTGGAAACGCCACTGAAACTTGTCTACTGTCAGTGATCCTGCTAGTATTTGAAATATCGAGGGCATAGCTTCCACAGTGATATGCAGACCATCACAGTGTGAAAAACCAAGAGATGATTGATGGAGGGCATTTACATTTGCAGTTTTCTTTGCCAGAAGCACGTCTTTTCTAGATCTCACCAGGCAGGCTCAGTGGTTTGTTGTTCCGGTGTCCGTTCAAAAGTCGTTCCTTAGTGACTGTCACCCAGAGCAGTCTCTTCCTTTTTATGCTTTCCTTTCTTCAAATCATTCCTGTTTTCTGCAGTTACCTAATTCTGTTATTATATAATTATTATAATGATCGTTGTCCAAGTTGCTAGAGAAAACACGCTAAGATTATCCTTCATGTCTCACACAAATCATTTAATGTAAAAGTCAAGAACAGTTGTTATTGTTGTTGAGTTTCATCCACCAGGAGAATGTGACAACATTTCAATGTCAACAGAATAAGGGAGTAAAGATCTGGTGATGTGCAAGACTGGGAGATGATTCCTTCTGGTAGAATGCCATTACCTCATAGACACCTTTCCGAGCCACCCTGTAAGGAAGAACACTCTAATTTCAATCTCCTTTCAAGCTTTGTTTTTATGCACCTACCTCTCCTCATCCTCATGGTAGTTATTTTCATCCATTTACAAATGTCTCTGGGACGTGTGCTGAGTCATAGGCCCTGTTCTAGGCACTTGGTAAGCAGTCAATAAAATGGGCACGTAGCCCTGTATGCAGGAGGAAGACATATACTCAGTAAACAAATGAGGTAAATACACGATGTGTCAGATGGTGCTGAAGGAAGCCAAACAAAGGCTAGAGAGTGATGGGCAGGTGAAGGCAGGCTCAGGGCAAATGTGCCAATCGGAGGAGGCCTCGGCAGAAAGTGCCCAACTGGAAAGTCCCGAGGGAGGAGAGGGAAGGAGGGAGCCATGACCAGAGCGTTCAGGGCAGAAGTACATGCATTGAGCAGCCCTGAGGCCTGTGTGAAGCAGAATGAGCCAGGACCGGGGGGCAGAGGGGCAGTGCAGTGGACACGCTGACTCGCTTTCATGGATTGTCTTGAGCAGAGGAGCAGCCCGAGATAACTTAAATTTAAAAACCTCTCCCTTACCATTGGGTGGAAACAGATGCTAGAGGAGCAGGGGCTGAATTAAGGGGCCAACCAACCCAGGAAAGAGGGGCCAGAGCCAAGGTGGCCCTAGGTGGTCAGAGTGATCGTGGTATGAACCTCCTCTGATGGAAAGCAAACTGGGACTTGATGTTCCCCTCCTCCCAACCCCCAGTTATCCAGAAAACACGTGACCCTTCTTCATTGACAGGTAGGTTTTGCCACCTGCATTGGCTGTCCCTTCTTTTTAGAAAACAGATTGTCATTGGACACACACCTATAATTCTTGCACGACGTTCAGAGAAGACCCTAGGTCGCTTTGCAAAATACTTTATCTGTGGTGGCATTTTGTTTGGGCCACGTTCGCTTCCCCATCAGTAACGAGGTTTACTTCCCCATCAGTAATGAGGTTCGCTTCCCTTGTAGGATTATGCCCACCTGTTGACCTGCATCACGGAAAGAGAGAAGTTTATTGTGCCAATTAAAGCTAGAGGGGCCCGAGCCATCCTGGATTTCCCTGACACGCTCAATTTCTCCACGTGCCCTGTCAAATACAGCACCCAGAAGATTCTGCTGATACGAAACATTGGCAACAGAGATGCTGTGTTCCACCTCAAAACTCAGAGGTATGCATTCCTCCACCTCATTTGTGATTGATTGATTATAGCTAAATGCAGTCAGCACAAGCAGTTTGCTAGAATAGCATTGGGGTGGAAGTGCTAGCAACAGTCTTCATTTGCAAGGCTGGGAAAGCTCACGGACATGGGACAGACCAAGCAGCCTTCATCGTGAGATGTAACCAAAGTCAGGCCCTTAATATCTTACCCTAGTTCTGATTAAATGGCCCAGCCTGACTGCATGTGCATGGTTTTTTGGAATACCATGAATAGGATGAAGGCCCTTCTATTTAGCTTGGAGGGAACTCTGCTTGTATAGACCATACCAACCTAGTAGACTTGGTCAGTGTAGGGTTGCCACAAAACCTTTGATGTGTAAAAATGGCTATAGCCTTGAAGCACCGTGAAATGAAGCGCTGTGCAGTGAGGTATGTCTGTAGCTAGCACTTGTTATGGACCAGCAGTTGATGCTCATTTGTTCGTTATTCCTTACAAGAATGCAACAGCTACTGCAGTTGTTGCCATTTTGCAGATGAGAAAACAGGTTTTGCAAAAGTTACGCAAAAGCACATCAAGCTAGTAAGTGATGGTTCTGATTTTAATCTGAATTACATTGCCAACCCAATACATGGTTCAAATCCACCCGCTGCTGGTAGAGAAAGCTAGGCTATCCCCCAGACGACTTACAGCCTCTGAATACTCCGGGAGGATCAGCTGTTAGTTAGTTCCTACTGGAGGACGCCTAACAACAACAGCCACATTTATGGAATGGCTGCAATATAGTAGACACCATGAAGCAGCATAAAGAATAGAAAGACCCACCCTGCTCTCAAGGAGTTCTCTTTAAAGTGGGAAACGATATGAGAATGGAGGTTGATGAGTGGCACCATTCAAGACCAACTATCGAGAGAAGACAGGTAGCAGGAAGCCAGGGCCTTTGCTGGGACTTTAAAAACAAAAACCAAACCAGTGTGTGTTTATTGATCTTACCCAGGACATTTTTTATTCAAATCCATCATGCACTTATTGATTGACTACTCTGCTAAATTACAGAAAAGACATATGCTGGGTGCATTCATTTTATCTTATCCCATTTGTCTTTCCAACTCCCAAGAAATCTCTTAATATTTTATTGAGTCCACAGCGTTTCATTTTAAGACATAAGCCCTGGAGGCCTTCAGCACCTCTGTGGAGTTCTTTACCTGTGCCACCTTCGCTGCTCGGCGTTGGATCATTCTTACAGGAACATGATGATTTACCTCACTCAAATGCAGTTCCCCAGTCTCCGGAGCTGGAGGCAGTTTAATTTACTTCTCTGGCCTTGGAAGTTTGCACACACATTGCTTATATGAGGTGACAGCTGGGATTTCTTTCCCCCTCTTCCTTTGATTCCTACATGTAGTCTGCCTAGACTATTTCCCTTTAGCTCTAATCACATGGGTGGCATTTGCTTCATTCAAAGGAATGTCTAATGCTGTCCCAATATGGTCACATTGGTTTTGAGGTCAGTGCTCTGACAAGAGGATATGGAGGTCTCAAAGGGTTAAATAACTTCCCAGAGCCCCAAACTGACAATGAGATTGAATGAGGTCTTGCTTTTTAACCATTAGGCTCAGCTGCCTTCTGTGTGGTTCTGTAGTTATTCTAGTGTTTTGACATTTGTTTTATTTTCAGACTTAGGGCATCTTTACTTTCTGCTTGGCCATGTCTAATGCCTTATTGGCAGATAGTTGGTAGAATGTATGATAGATCGATATGATACACTCATGTTTGGGAAGAATGGTTATTCTGGACATTTTTCTTAAATTGGTAGAGCTAATAGAATCATCTTTTTAAAAATTTTTTATTATTAATTTCAATGAAAATTTACAGAGACTTTGGATTTCCATTCATTCATTGTTGCACTTTTCTCCCCCCCCAACGCCCCCCCCAGTATACTCCCCTCTTGGAAAAGTAAAAGAAAAATTATTTCATTGTTTTACAGTCCCTCCCCCCAGGTCCACTCCACTATGCAGCCTTCGCTCTGGACTCCTGTCATGACAAAAATCCCTAATCACATATCCCTTTTAAACAGTTTTCTTCCTCATCTGTTTCAATGCAGTATACATTATTGAACCAATCTTTCTCAGTCTCTTCCCAACCCCAGTCAGTCCTGTTTTACAACAGTGACACCATGCAGTATTTGTCCTTTTGTGACTGAGATACTTCACTCAGCATAATGTCCTCCGGGATCACCCATTTTGAATAATATTGCATGCATGGTAATGAAAAGTTGCAGTGTAATGATTTCAGTGGTTGCTGTTTTGTCATCAGATGTCAGTGAGTTTGAACTTAGAACCCTGTGTACGGCAGAGTAGAGCGTTGGGCAGTCCTGCCCCAGGGTTTGCCATGGTGGAGCCCATTGTTGCAACCACTGTATTAGTGCATCTCATTGGTGCTCTTCCTCCTTTTCACTGACCCTCTGCCTCATCAAGCATGATGTCCTTCCCCAAGGACTAGCCCCTCCTGACACTGTGTCTAAAGCACATGGGACAGAGGGTCACCATCTTTGCTTCTTGGAAACATTTTGGTTTTACACCTTGTATAAATTCCAGCAGATTTGTTTATTCTTCTGCCAGTCTATGTTGTAGTTCCTATTCTTCACCAACACCATAATTCAAAGGCATCAGTTCTTCTTCACTCTTCCCTATCTATTCCAGGTTCCTCAAGCATATGAGGCAATTGAAAATACCAGGGCTTAGGACAGGCACACCTTAGTCCTCAAAGTGACATCTTGGCTTCGCTAGTGAGTAATTTTAAATAAAAATACTCCATGGTGTTATATTATTCAGTTAGAAGGATATTGGTTTCTGAATGTTTTGTAGATTTGCCAGATTTTAGCATTTAAAGGAGAAGATTTTACAGCGACAGCAGAAGCACTGAAATGTATTGCATGCTTACTGTTGACCACTCGTTGGGTGCCAATGAGCAACTACCACTCATGGTGACACTGTGAACATCAGATCAAAATAGTGCCCTTTCCCGTGCCGTCCTGACAGTCCTCCGGCTCAAACCCACTATGGTGATGTCAGATCTCTCACCGAGGGTCTTCCTTTTTCACCAACCTTATACTTTTCCCAAAATGATGGTTTTTGCTAAGGGCTGGCACCGCCTGACAGTAAGTCCTGATGGTACTTCACAAAGTACGTGAAATGAAGTCTCATCTTCGCCTCCGAGGATCACTCTGATTGCACTTGCTCTAAGACAGATTGGTTTGGTCTTTGGCAGTTGATGGAATATTCAGTTCTCCTTGCTAGCATCACAATTCAAAGGCATCAGTTCTTATTTGGTCTTTTTTATTCGTTGTTTCCGCCATCATCATATGCATACAAAGCAATTGAAAATACCATGACTTGAGCCAGGTTCACTTTAGTCTCTAACCTGGTACCATATTACTGTTGTCAGACCTGGTACTAATATTTGTATATAACCTTTGATTTAATGCTTACAGCAACCCAGTGAGGTAAGTATCCTTTTATTGCAGACTAGGGCACAGGTTCAGAGGGTAATGTGCCCAGTACTGTACTCCTGAAAAGGTGTGGAGGTGGATGTGGAACCCAGGCAATCTCAGTTCCAGAAACTCTTCTTTCATCACCACACTAAAGCCCCAGCTCTGTGCTGCCTGGGCCGAGAGTGGTGGAGGACATGAGCTGAGTGTTCACCACAGCTCAGCTCGAATAGCGGACCACAAGGCCCATCTACCCTTCTATTTCCTATGGCCATTTACTTGTTCTTTCTGGCTCTCCTCACTGTTGACTTGATGGATTTTTTTTCTAGTGAAGAGCCAGTGCCCTTGCAGGAACTGTATCATTGAGAATCTAGGCTTAGTCAGCACATTTGCAGTTATGAGAGCAGCTTATTTTCTTTTCTTTTTTTAATTTTTATTGTGATTTAAGTGGAAGTTTCCACATCAATTGGTTTCCCATTTAGCACTTCATCCACATTATGTTTTGTGACGTGGGTTACAATCCCCACGTTGTAATTGCACTCTTCTTTCTTCCTTCTTTGATTTCTTTGTTCCCTTCATCCTTGTTTCCTTTCCTATCTGTAGTTAATTGCGTTAAGGTGAGTATGCCTTTCTGGTGTTACTGTTTACAGTATAGGCATCTGCTGTTTGGCCAGAAGTTGAGTCACAGAGTGATTTTGGTTCCAGACTTGAAGGCTGACCAAAGGCCATCGTCTTGGGGCTCTGCCAGTCTCTGTTAAACCAGTAAGTCTGATCTTTTTTATGATTTTGAGTTTTGTTCCATGTTCTTCTGCTACTCTTACCTTGTGCTGTGATTGCTTTCAGAGCAGTCAGCAATCAGCAGGGCACCATCTAGTTCTTCTCGTCTCAGGGCCATGGAGACGAAGTTCATGTACGCATTAGGACCAGCAGTCTTTTTCAAGAATAAGTCTTTGCATATCTTCACTCTTTTTTTTTTTCTTCAAATTATGAGAGACCGGAAATTGCATTTTAGTTGGCTCCTTGCAAACTTTCAAGACTGTTGCCACTTGACACAGTAGAATGTAGTCCAGTGTCCTTGTGGGCCATGTTATGTCAACTGACCTCAGTGTCCTCCACAGCTATGGTCCTGAGCTCCCAAGCCCAGGGACCCGGTCCTTCAAAGGGTTTGATTGTGGCTAAGCAATTTTCATCATTTCACTCCTGTTTGAGAACAATTTAATTTCTTTTCTGTTTACTTTTATAACTAAGACAAATATCTTTTGTGCAATAATGCAAGTAAAATTGGAGTTTAACATCTTCTCCTTTTGCCCTCCCATCTCTTGAAATTTTTCAAGTAATTGCACATAGTACTACTTGAGAAAGAATGAAAGGGTCAAGGTAAAGCAGACTCAGGGACATAACTTTTTGAGTTTTTCCCCTGATGAATACTTAAAATGACACCTAGCACAAATGGTAACCTCTAGGATCCAGAAATTCCCCTGAGACCTTTGCATGGAAGGTGAGAACTTTCCTTCATCAAAGT